TCTGTCAAATTAAGCATTGGCAGTGGACACTTTTTCAGATCAAAATTGCTTACAATTCACTCTTAAGTCATCAAACTGTAAATCCACCTAATTATAATGAAGTCAGGCATGTTGAGGACAAGACAGTAGTTATTTTGCATTGTGTAAGAGCATTCCTGTGGTAATCTCCCAAGCACATACATAGTAAAAATGCTTTCATTACTACATTAACAGTCATTTGTTGAAAAGTATTAGTAGTGCTTAAGCATACACACTGGGTTAAAAACTATGCAAGTTCACAGCCCAACCCATGCTGAGACACACAGGGCTCTTGATGTTGGTCACACTTATGCATTCATCCAGATTTCTTAACTGAGGAAAAACATGGCTGCTGATCTCATTTTTTTTTTCAGACGCAGGTGTTTTTTTCTCAAGTCCTTGCTTTTGTTGTAGATCAAGTTTATAATTCACGGTTTAATTCAAAACCCCTCCAGGAGGTCTTACACTACTCATGCTCCCATTCTGGTGGGATTTATCAAGGTCTCCCTGCCACATGGCAACCTGCACCGTGGCTTTTTAGACCAAAACTAAATGTTTAATGTGAAGGAATTATTATCACCTTGAGCTTTTTACATATGTATAAACTTAATTGCATGGAATTAATAAAGTATTACATGAAGATGTCCTTGTAAATTCTAATTAATTTCAGCACAATTACATTTGATATCTCATAATTTAACTGCAAATGTTGTTTCATGCATTAGGGAGTCTCAAGCCATATGTGTAGATGTTTCATCTGACTGGAAAAAAATGTTTTATGACTGCACTCTCAAAGTGTAGTAATAGAATTTTCTTGCATTTTCTGATTCTGAGCTGGTACCACAGGCAAGGAAAATGAAAAATACAGTCCTTAATTTCATATTTTGTTTGCTGTAGTTCTCACATGGTTCATATCAGACATCTTATAGTCACAAACATCCATTTTGTTGAATGTAAAGACAAATGTACTTGAACAACTTTTGATAAAAAATCTAAATTAATCTAAAGATAAACTTGCAGACAGCTGTTTTGTAGGATTCCATGGAAACCCCAATCTATTAAGTTTCTCAGTAATGCTATGAGGGCAACGAAAGTATCACTACAACATGCGAGTTGCGTAATTGTTAAGGCAATCAGAATAGCATTACAGTGGATGGTGAGGTCTTGCCAGGAAAAATGGTGACTAGTTGTAACTAGGAATGCTTATGTCACAGTAATGCAATTGTATAGTCACAATGGTAAGTTTGAAGTAAAATGGTCAAACGCTCTTTTAGCATAGTAGTGATCATTTGAGAAAATGGGGAGTACAAAACAACTGTCGCCTTTCTTGATTTGCGCAGGAGCCCCATTTTAGAATAATTGGATTGTTCGTTAAAGGATATCTGCAACATTTGAGAGTAATTAACCAGTGCAGTTTTTTAGTGAGAGCCTGTCATGTAATTTTTTTAAGTAGTGAATTGTTATAAGCAGACATGATGGGAAAACACCACCCACATTATTCATATGAGATCTCACATTATTTCAGCATGCTTAGTTTCTGAGGAGACGTGGTTCAAGTGTCTTTTTTTAACCAAATTCAAGAAAGCAGCCAAGCCTTGTGTTCAACTACCTTAGCACGAGAACAATTCTGTTGATGTTTTGGGATTGATTGTAGAACATTTTTTGAAATTTCTCGAATCTTGTCAAGTTGTCCATATGGCCAAGCCATGTGACCTACCAGCATAACTGTCACTCTGGCAGCTTCCCCCAGGTCTTTACAATCCAGACAGACTTCTCAAATTTCCATAGGAGTTAGATTCCATTGCCATTTGAAAATTACAGCCTGCATCGAAATAATGCAAGTAGTACCGATCAACTTCTTTGGAAAGGAAAGAAATATGTTTTATTGGAAATCAGGAAAAATGTTAGTTTTAGCAACTGAGGATGGTAAAGTCATGCTCTGAATTTTTTAAAATTTTTTATCGCATTTAACCCCATTTCCAGTTCTAACCATCCCAGAATTCCAGACTTGTGATGTCACATCTACACACTCCAGTTCTGTGTGCCTGCAGTGCTTCTGGATCATGTACTGCTTGTGTAGGGATGATAGCGTGGTTCCACACAGTTTGGAAATTAAAAATAAAAAGGTCCTGGAGAGTTGAGCAAAGAGGAGGTCTATCTACTCAAAATCTAACTGAGAAGCTCACATCCAGACAGTCAATTTATTTTTATATGTTAACTGCAAGAAGAGAACAAGCTCTTTGCATCGTTTGCCAAAATAAAGGATTGCATGAAAAAATAATTCTCAGGATGTATGTCATTGGGAATGCTATGTCCAGCATCTTATAAATGTCACACATTCTTTAAGGCCCTTGGGCAGCTAATGATCTCAGATCTACAGCAGTTGGAGTTGCTTTTTAAACACCCAAAAAAACATACGAACATTAGAAAAGCCACAAGGGAGAGGTGGCCATTCTGTCACAAAGCAAATGTATTCTAACTAAACTCTATTGTACATGTGGAGCAGAAGCAGTTTGTCTGAAATACACCACTTATAAGTACTGTAGCAAATATAAAAAAAATCCTAAATTCTTACTTTTGTGGTTGTGTGTGAAATTAGCAGCCTATTTTTCATTTTAATGATGTAAGATCCCTGTTATTTGTAAATAATGCAAAGTTAAAGGCTGATATATGGTTTGGAAGACTTTACTAATTTGTGATCTTCACACAGTACGAGTGGTGGCATGCATAATGATAACATCGCTTTTATTAATACACTTCACGAAGGGACCACACACAACTGAAGGGCTGAAGCCCTGAAAACTTTCTTTTTTAATCGCCTCTTGTTGACATGCAATGCACATGGGCCAGAGAACGGAGGCAAACTTGAGTTCGAGGTCCGGGTTTACAGGTAGACAATTAGGCTCGTTGTCTGTTTTGTTTTATCCATTTCAGACTGTTCAGAAGAGGAGAAGCCGGCAGTGCTGTGGGCTCTGTATTTCAACATGAGGGACTCCTCCGACGTGGAGCGAAGCTCTTACGACCTGCCTGGAAATGTCCATGTGTGCACTGGGCCTGACGCGGCTCTGGGAAACGATCATTCCATCAAGATGGTAAGACAGCTTTCCCCGTTGCAGGACTGCAACTAACTGCCTAATCACTTAACCATATGACCAGTGGGGAAAACTTAGTGGTCGGTAGACACTTTGATCAATCACCACTCTTAAGTTGCCATCTGCATGGTTTCCCATTGGGCATAGTACACTTTTTTTTCCAACTTTCTCTGGGCTTGAATAAAAGAAGCTTGTATACTTAGCTCATATTGGTGAGTGTAATGGGCTGAAGGCTTATTTTGTTTATTGTGCTTATTGGACATACTGTACCTAATGGTTTCCTTAGACTGTTACTAGAAGTGGGTGGCACAAGACCCTTACAGATATTACTTGATAAATATGAAGCAGGCACGAGGAGCCTTATGTGTGGAGTTTGCATGTTTCCCTCCACTACCCCATTCCCCAGGGTGTAGTTCCACCTTGTGCCCCGTCTTTCTGGGATAAGCTACGGGTTGCTTGCCAGGAATAAAAGGCTTTCTTGATAATAGTTGGAGGATTAAAATGACGAAATGTCAACTTGAGACATAATTGTGACATCTTTTGAAAAACAGCCATTGAAACATTTTCTTGAGGGAGAGGGAAGAGAAGGCTAAGTCAGCAGATCCGCCTCTATAAAATTTGATTCCTCCCCGTTGAGTGGTAGTAGGTGTGTATGATGGCTTTGTTAGGGTATTGTCACCCCACATACAGCCAATTAAAATAGCAATATCATGTTTAACTTAAAGTGTTAATTTGTCTTTTAGCATGTCTATATTGCCTACTGCCAGACTCCCAACTGCTCTAGCAGTCTCTTTAGGAAAACCCAGAAATAGGTTTGCTCTGGATCAAAAATCCTTCTGTAACCCTCTGCTTCTGCCTAGGCTGAAAGCATCTTCCAGCAACTGTTTCCAGACGAGGAATTTTGCCCACCTGCCCCGAACCCTGAAGATATTGTCTATGATGGAGATGGAGGTCAGCCAGAGGACGCAGGGTTTGGTTCTCCTGAACAGAACGAACCCTCCAGGCCAGAGGAGGGCACTGTTCCCACAGAGCCAGTCAAGTCAGAAGAGAGTGCTGACCCTAAGCAGGATAGTGAGAGACACCCACCAGCCAGTGCTGAAGAGACCGGCACAACAGATTGAGACCCAGTCCCACAACACAGGAGGCCTCTGAGACAGGGCCTTGAGAATAACTCACCTTTTAACTGCCTTCAAATAGCAAAGAGTAGGGTTCTGTAAAGGCTATGGCGTCACACAATAACATAACCAAAATTCATACATTGTATCCAAATGGCTTTCATTGTTCACATCCTGAACAGTATGTTATTACACCAGAGGCCAGTTAGCTCTGGGTTCAGCTGAGGTGTGGTCTCAATCCTTCTCTAAGTAATCACTTAACACCTTTCCTTTCTCCAGATTTGGCTGTGGTAGTCATTTTGGAAGCTAGAATGTCTTCAGCAGAGATTCCAGGAGACATTTACAGGATTTAAGAAGACCCATGGAATGGTCTGACAGTTTGTCCTGGGTGCACAGTGTACAAAACTGTAAAAAACTGTTGGGATCCGAACAATTGGAAGTAAAATAAGTGACAGGTTATTTAAATATTTGTTGTAATAAATTATGTATTTTATGTTACCCCACTATTTGCTCTTTATTTTTTTTTCTGAGTTACGACAGCACTGTCTTGTAATCTTCACTTTGGTCAAAGTTTTTACACACCTCAAAGCCTTAGAAATATGAAAAGCTTTCATTAAAGGCCATCACTGTACACAGAGTATATCCAATATTTTACAGAGCAATATATATTATTGTAATATATTCACATATTGTTTAAAATAAAATTTGTAAGGGGTGAAGGTGGGTATTGAACATTTTGAAGGTTGTTTCTGTCTTTTCAACTGTGCAGAATACTCCCCTCACACAGTTACCCTTTTGTCATATCCCTAGGTTTTTAAATACATGCTCTGTCAATGTTGGGATGTCTGGTTCATTATATCATTATATCTCCCAATAGCAAACATGTTGAAAAGTGTAGTCACATAGCCATGTCAGCGAAATAGCAACCTGTGATGGCCCTGGTGTTTTTAAATTGCAGCTGAATTAAAAAAAACAACAAATTAAATGGGCTTGTTTCTGTGACTTCATTGCCACACTTTAAAGAGCCAGTGACATTGTTCCAAAAGTAAATCCCCACAAGATGACCACTGCAACATTTCTGCAGAATAAAACTTAATAGTTCTGTTTAATGCAAATGTGTAAAAAGTTTGTTTCTGTGCTGTTTTTTCACACATGCCTGTATGTTGTTTTATTTATAACATTACCTCACGTTCATATGAGTAACTCCTAATTAAAATAGCAGTCTTTGTTATTTCACATGATGCAGCCTTTATTTTATCCAAAACAATTACAAATTATTAATGTTTTTGGTTCCCACGCACTTACTATTGTATTAATATGCTTCTGATTGAGTTGCTAGTTAAAAGAAATGAGGTTGATTGTGTACTGGGGCCAGACTGATATTCCAACAGGAGTAGAGGTGTGGTTCAGCCATTATTTTATAATCTCACACTGAATTCATCCAGTAGACAAGTGCCATTATCACAGAGTTTCAGCTGTTAACCTGGCATCACCTGCTTAGTTGGGTTGCTGTTGCAGAGTCAGAGGAAAATGAATAAGTAGAAGGTTTTGCTTCTCGAGCTGTAAAATATTAATTCTATTTTTTTTTCTTGACCAATTTGTTTGAACAAATAAGTTTTATTGTTGGGGTGAATTGGGCAGTTGAGATCAGCATGTCTCAGAACTTGTTTCTGTCCAAGCCTTCCTGGATGCAACGACAGCAATTTTACCAACTGTAGTGCACATGGAATCCCAGATACTGTATGCATGTTTTTAATGCTTCAGCGGTAATGCACCTATGGGAATGCATCTGATGTGCTTTGCTTCTACAGGAGACTATGCAATAGTATGAAGGAGAGTATTGGGTATCTCCTATTTTTTAACCCAAGTAAAAGCAGCTTAGCTTTGAAAACATGCTCAGTAATGTAAACAGTTGTAAACCAAGCTGCTCTTCAAATTGTCTGTCACATTATGGTCCTGTCCTGAGGTAATGCTAACAGAAGTGTTATGTGTTGCATTCCTTATAGAGTAACATACTTGTGCATAGAATCTTGTGCATTTGTATAAAAAGAGGATTCTGTGCAGTTCCATCACCTCGAAATTATTCAGATCACCTTAATGGATGCTGTCTTTTCCATTAATACATGAACAGCAGAAGAACAGATTTCAGTTATATTGCATGAAAGGATAGTTTTATCACATACCATTACACATGCTGGTTCCCTGTATGTGAAATTATTTCACTACGTCTTGTTTTCTACCTAGCACTTGTAGGGATAAGTGAGTGTTTGCTGACAGGTGTAGTTTAATATACCACGTTTATTACCACTAACTACCATCTGAACAGCCTTGTTTCAGATATAGGGTGCCAGTATATAAACTAATAACTGTAGTTCATTAGGTGCCATCTGATTATATATTTGCTATTGCTGTTGCTGTATAAGGTTGTTAATTTATTATATATATATGTATGTATGTATTCTTGGTATGTAATAAAAGTTACTGATGTGCATTCTCATTTTGCTGTGTTTTCTTTTGTATTTTCTGAGTTCTGTCACAGATTTTCACACATAATTCCAGCCCTGGAATCAGTCCTTAGTGTTAAACTCTTCTTGGTCCATTAGCACAGTCTGCCCACTGTTGGCTTTTGTGTATTGAATGTTTTGATGGTTTGGAGTGTTAGTGTACATGCCATCTGCTTACAAGACTGTGTTGAATTAGTCTTGCATTTCCTTAGGTATTTCACTACAAAATAATGTGAATCTGATGTGTTTTGTTACCGCACTTGATTGACCAGTGTGTCAGTGTGACAACAGGTGAATTCCTAGGTCAATGGATTCACTGAACAGGTGAATTCCTAGGTCAATGGATTATAGTTTTGTTCATGTACCAAGTGTTGAGGCTATCACATTTTGCTTGACATTTATAATAATAATAATTGCTTACACTTATATAGCACTTTTCTGGACACTCCACTCAAAGCACTTTACAGGTAATGGGGACTCCCCTCCACCGATGTACAGCACCCACCTGGATGATGCAACAGCAGCCATAGTGCGCCAGAACACTCACCACACATCAGCTATCAGTGGGGAGGAGAGCAGAGTAATGAAGCCAATTCATAGATGGGGATTATTAGGAGGCCATGATTCATAAGGGCCAATGGGAAATTTGGCCAGGACGACACGGTTACACCCCTACTCTTTGCAAGAGATGCCCGGGGATTTTTAATTACCACAGAGAGTCAGGACCTCGGTTTTACATTTCATCCGAAGGACAGCACCTTTTTATAGTTTAGTGTCCCCCTCATTTTACTGGGGCATTAGGACGCATGTGGACCACAGGGTGAGCACCCCCTGCTGGCCCCACTAACACCTCTTCCAACAGCAACCTTAGATTTTCCCAGAGGTCTCCCATCCAGGCACTGACCAGGCTCACATCTCCTTAGCTTCAGTGCATTGCCAGTTATGAGTTGCAGAGTGATATGGCTGCTGGCTGCTTGTGGTCCGGAGTTGGATGATTTGAATCTAGCCCTTGTTTGTACCCATGAAAGACTGGAAGATCCAAGAAGGTGGCACAGTTTTCCAGACACTGCCGGGTTTGATAGAATCTTGACAGTGCTGTGTGGAGATGCTGCAGAACACTGCCCTCATGTGGCTGAAAAGGCATTAGTTCCTGAGTCTTCTCTGATGGGGCAAGAGGTGTAGCAGTGGATTGTTAGTGGATTAACAATTGTGTGTTTTCAACATCAGGTTTGGAAAAATTCACGATTCAAGAGAAATTTCTTCATCCGAATGTTTTCGTAGACATGCCATACTAAATTCCACTGTAATGTTTTATATAATTAAGACAGGTGAAACGAAAAGTTTAATTGTAGCCGGGGTATTTCACCTGTCTCGCAGACTTCACCTGGCAGGAGCCTGAAATACCTCACAGAAGACTTTGCCGGTGATTATTGCCTGATGATAATATTTGGATCAGTTGTGTAATTCAGGAATATAGAGGCTCGGGTGTAATTTTAAAATTAAATATCATTTCGAAAGGCACTTTGACAAAGAAATGTGAAGAGAATTTCTGGAATAAACTCTTTGTTTCATCTGTTTTCCAGACATTATTAAAATGGTTAGCTCTACATCAATTAGCAGGTAAATTGCACTAATATTATAGTACAGCATAAAATCATGCTTGACAGCCTCACTGCAGCCTCCCAGCAATGTTTATCACCACTTTGAGTTCAAAGACAATAGCATTGTTGGAGCTCATGTCATTTGATTTCGTTCACTTTTTCCGTTGTTATCTTCCCCAGTTTAGATAAATGATCTATTTGCTTGTCACACCTGAAGAAGGTTCCATGGCCGAAACGTTGCGCTTTCAGCATGGATTAAACCTATTACTTGTTCCTTATTTGGCTTTACCACTCTGACCATTGGACCCTCATGGAATGTGTAGTGGCAGTGCCATTTGCTTCCTATTCAAACTCTGAGCCCCACAGTGCCAAAATTTACAGGACCCAGATAACCTGGTTAATTGATTACTGGCGGTACCTGCCTGTGTGCTGCTGTTAGGAAGACTCTGGCCACAGTTAATTAACTAATGAATTTGTGTTGTCTGGGCCAGGGTGCTCAACCTGTACTTTGAACAATCTGCTTCACAGGTTGAGAGCCTTGTGCGCAGCCTGGCCGATTCTTTTGGCCTGAATATTAATCCTTCGATTGAAGTTGAAGTGCTGCTGTAGCCTTATCAAAATCCAGTTCCAGGCATAAAAAAAAAATCTGCAGCAACCTTTCCACATGCAGTAGTTGTAAATGTCGGCGTAGAGTCAGATGCCACTGTCTTCAATATGGCACCACCCCACCCCCCAGGATACACAACTCTCTGGTGATCTTTCATCTTAAAGGATAAGGAATCAGTGACATGAATGAGCACCCGCTTAGCACCTGACCCCATTTCAGTAAATCAGAAGTGCAAAATCAGCCTTGCCATAAATTGTTTGGTTAATGTAACATTCATAGGTGGGATACATAAGTATAATCCAGCCCTTCTTGTACTGCTGTTTCATCGCAACTGATGACCCTGATCTCAGGATCTCCTCCAGTGTTTTTCTTAAAGATCATAGGGACTTCCCCATCATGTTCCACCTAAAAAGGCTATTCAGGATCTGCACAGAAATGAGAAGGTTTCTGAGCCTGTTTTTCAGATGTTTAGAAAGCAAGATCATGGCTCCAAAAGAAGATGATACTGATGTCTTGCATCTGGTCTATCAAGGACTCCTCAGCCAGTTTCCACCCAGCACAGCACTGCGTGGACAAAGTGATAAATGTTGGAAAGTACTTTTTCTGACATGAATTGCAAGACCGATCTTGAATCGTGAAATGCTGTTTAGTGGAAAAAGAAAAACACCACACACAAAAAAAGCAAAGTGCTAATGATGAGCGCTGAATGTACTCCGGGAAAAGCATGAACAGGTGCAAACAATTTTCCGTGTGGAAAATCAAATACATCTGTAATGATATGTGATGGAACAGCAGATGTTTAGCAGATCAAGGTGCCGTTTCCCATTACCAAGGTATTCCCTGTTTAAAAACAAAGCTCGCAGTTACCTGCAAAGAAAAAGGCTAATGAAAACAAAAAGAAATAAAGAATGGATCGTTAAGTGACATTGTATTACAGAGCTGTGACAGAACATATGGTTCATTAGTGGTTCATATGCGCAGTTTTCCTTTGCTCCATACTGTACATGCAATCTTTTCTTTTTTTAAAATTTAATTAAAGTTCTGTTTGGAATATTTATTAAAAGCTTGACGTAGGGGGAGGGAGGAGGGGGGCGGGGGTCCTGAGGTCACTTTTATATTGCTGGAGTAATTGAACAGCTACTGCCGTATTTTTTATATAAGAAACATTAGAAGTGCAGTTCACACAAACTCTGAGCTGAAAAATGATCTGTTCTTTCTTTCACTCAGTAGCAGAAAGGTCCCTGGGTCAGTGAAATACAAGTACAGACATGTTCAGTATTACATTTTTGCCTGGACTGTATTTAGTTTCATTTAACTGCTTTGAGTTTTAGTGGTCTGGTACTGGTGACTAATAAATACTGGTACAGCTACCTTCATACTATTCTCTATACTATTTAGTAATATATAATATATCAGGTAGTTTTTTTTCAATCAATTCATCTTTCAAAAATGAGAGAATTAATGGAATGTAAAGTAAACCATTTAAAATTGTGTTAAAATAAAACTGACATTTTGCAGAACTGACTCTAATGTAAAATTATAAAATTGCTTTGATTTCAGATTTTACTTGGGTTATAATTTAATCTTTGTCAGGTAATTGATGGTTTTTATTTACTAAAATTAAAGAGTTGGAAGGCAAGGAAAAAAGGTTTGGAGCCATTTGTTTTTAGTACGTTTACTCCTTCAGCTAACTTGAGTAGTTTTCCACCCCATACTTATCTATTGGATAGATTAAGCTCCTCGGTGCTTTGGAAGGTGAGTTTTAGTCCCAGTAATGATGACAACAAACCATCTAAGCAAATACAACAGTGCACAGTCCAGACATTTATTGGAAATAATTGGTTTTGCTCACTTTTTCTTTAGGAGTGACCCTACTGTTAAATTGTATCATCGGGAATCAATTTTATGCATGACAAGTCTTGGCATTAAAACGAAAAGGTTAAAAAAAGCCACAGGCAAGATGGCAATCTGCAACAGACTTAATTTGCTCTGTGGGGGGGTGGGGGGTAGTTAGAGCTCTGACAGAGAGAAGGTGCTAGTTATTAATTATTCAAATATTTATCCAAATATTCTTGCTACATGTTTTATATTGTAAATGGTCTCATTTGTTTTCAAATTAAGAGGCACATCAATGCTCTCACCTCTGATTTGTTTAACATTTAACACGAATAGGCCTATTTCACGAAACAGCTCTTTCTGAGTCATACGTCTGCAGACATGCATACGCTGCCAAACTGCAAAGTTAGACAATTAATGTTAACTGTTGGTGAATTAAAGAGTCCTCTTCTGTAAACTAGTCCCTACCTTTGTTTGAGCTGCAGTCCATGGAACTACAGTATGAATTCCTTTGCTATGGTCTTTTGCATACCAATTATCAACCTCATATGGGCCAATAGGGAGCCAAAGTTGAGAATTTGGTATTCTTTTCCTTTACAAACAATAGCATTTACCAAATAATCCGCTACAACACCTGAACCTGAACCTTGTTTTCTTAAAATAACTTGTTATAGCTATGCTACAAATGTTCCACTTTGCTGTCTAAAAAAGAAGAGCTACTCCTCTGGAGCCATGTTAAATGTGAAGCCCTCACAGCCTTTACCTGTTTTGTAAGAAATTCAGAATTCTCTTTCCCGTGTTCTTCCCCATTGCAGTCACTAGACCCCAGACTGCACAAACCTAAAAGCACACCTAATATAACCTTTTTGGTGTTATAGCCCAAAGAATCCCAAAGTCTTTTACAACACTTTGGATAAAGTGAGGGAACTCACTGTGAGATAAACAGAAG